CCTTATTAAATTTAAGTTCTACAAATTGGAAGGGGTTGACCATCTCATAACTAAGTACACAAGAGGAAATGGCCCAATGATCAAATAAATGTACCACTAACTGCAAGTGCGTGGGCTATTTCTATCACCAAACCGGGTCTAGATGTTGGATTGTCTATTATGATTTGAAGACACTTTCGAGTCATAATTAATGAACGACAAATTCGGCACCTTCACTTCGGAAGAATAAATTCGATTCGAGTTTTAAAGTCATCTATCATGTATACTAAACACGTATTATATTAACGTATTATTTGCATCTATTTATTAAGTTATACAATAAGAAGATCTTCAATACTTCTAAAAACACAAATAACAAGCACGTCCATGTATGGCAAATTTGGCATGTTCACTTCGGAAGGATACGGACGAAGGAGAGTTAGAACCGTCACTATGAACTATCATTTTATTAAGAAAATATTTGTACGCGTTGTCTTTATCGACGGAACTTACTTTCCCCCTCTAAATTCTCATACCAACTTAAGTTTCCCGTGCTAGTAAAATTTTTGAATCCCATCTTCTAGTTGCTTGAGATATATGAATTAAGCTAATTTGCCTGAATTGATTTGCCCACCTGATTCACCTAACCTCGCATGAGTGTGGAATTGACATGGGACCCGTATGAAATAAAAAATGAAAAGAATGCTTGCCTCCCCCCAATATGCAGGGAGGGTGTCACACCCTCCTTGGCAAAGCAGCTCGGTTCGAGATATATTAGGATTGGATGGATCATTAGGTCTACAACATGGCATGTGTACATGCATTATTTATAAACTCATTGAACACTTAGAATTTATCTTGAACGTCATGAGTGATGCCATCAGTCTTCACCCTTATAATATTTTTTGCTGAAATCCTCTTTGTATGTATGTTCCATGCCTCCCCAAAATAGTCACCCCCTCTTCTATTATTCTTTGCTACTTTATTTGACCGATTCATAATTAATTCATTTACATTGAAGCTTATTTTATTATTCATCAATTGCGAGTAGGCGAGAAGCGATCTTTCTTTCTCTTTCTATCACTAGAGTGGTCCATCATATTATAGTGCTCGACGATTCTAATAGTCTAGTACCAGTATCATTCAGGAAGGTAAAACTTGAGTAAATGGTGGAAGCGTCTTTTAACTCCTTCCTTACCGTTAGCCCCATGTGGTAGACGTAGCGATAAATAAAAATATTATGATCAAACTTTATTAATCGTCAATAGTCTTGAATTGTCTCAAAAAATGCGAAAGTGCAAAAAATTTGCGACGTCGGAATTCGAGTAGCATAGCGGTGACAAAAACTCAATTTTCTTGTAGCAAAATGAGCATTCTTTTTTAAGCTAATATTTGGCAATTAATTAATTAAGGGTTCTTCATTCTAGTGACAAGGGATAACTGGTGAAGGTGATTCAAATCATGCCATTGCCTTTATGCCTAAAGCAAAAAATAAAGT